TTCAAGTTATGGTAGAGATAGCAAAATGGCTTTTCTGAATATGGAGGATGGTCACTGGGTTCAAAGCCAAAGTCGTGCAGTGTCGTCATGGCGACAACACACTTGTTCACGAGAACATTGTTCTGGAACCACACATCTGTAATGATTTCTACACGACTCGTAGCCTTCACATTTCCACACAGTTGCCAAAACAGTGTAGCATAACATTGGCCGTTAACGGTCTGGATGGATTGGAGGAAATCAACTGGTAGGATTCCTGTGGAGGTAGAAGTCCTCACGTTGCCAGCTGATGGAAGAGACTCTGCATTGCTTGAAGAGACTTTAGATGCTTCCATTGATTGACTGTTGTTATTCTCCTGTAGTAGTGAACCCAAAATTCATATGTGATCTCTTACAAAATCTGTGTCTAAAAACTAAAATTAGTTCTCACGAGACAAAATGGACAGAAGAGGAATCCATGGAACTAAAACATCGTCATGCCCAGCTCATTCCTCAGAATCGGAGAGCGGAAGGTCGCGGGTTCCATCCCCCGGCCGCGTCATGCCAGACGTTAAAATATGGTACTTGTTGGTTCCTGCCTGGCGCTCGGCATTAATGGGTACAACAAGGACCTAACCACGATGTTTGCGAAAGAAGAAGTCGTTTTGTCGACCGTACCAATTTTTTTTTAAACCAAGATGATGGCAAGTGCTACCAAAACGCGACGAAACAACGATTTCCCTTCTGGAACACATCCCATAATAATTATTCCTGAATCGCCTCCGTGGTATAGTGGTTTGAGCGTCCGCCCGGAGATCGCAGGGTTCGATCCCCGGCCGCGTCATACCAAAAGACATTAGAATATGACGCTCGGCATTAAAGGGTACAACAAGGACTGGTCGGCTCGGAGTCAGTATAATGTGGCTGAGTGGGGTATTCTTGCATCACTACCGCATAGTATCTCAGTGGTCTAGCACTATAAAACCTGCTGAAGTCTGGGCTAGTACAAGCGACCACACATACACACGCATGCACGTCGTCATATGAGCAAAACATCCTTAAGTACGACGTTAAACCCCATTTCACCTCACCTCACCTCAGGTTCTCTGGGGCTCGTGGTTAAAGCGCCGAGCATCATGGTTCGATTCCCACATGGGAAGACTTGGTATCCCCGGCCATAACATTTCTGGAATATTTCTAGAAGCGGCGTAAAACCCGACTCACTTACTCACGCTTAGAATCTATTTCATTCTTTTACCAACATCTTTGAACATGACAGGATCTCCTAGGATTATGAGGGTTGTTTGACCTTCAACTCTATATAGCTTAGCCATGACCTTGCGAAACACATGACCTTGCGAAACACATGACCTTGCGCGCGGTGCCATAATCGTTATTATGATGAGGATAATAGAGCATACGTTACTCCATTTGCCCAAACATATCTGATCATTTAATAGACGATTAGATGCGCAATGTATAAAGACCTTGTAAAACCCTCGCGTCCCGCAAGCCAAGCCTCAATGCCTCTGCGCAGCCTTTGTAACACTGAAACATTTTGTAAAAGATAAGGTATTTTGAGATGGCTTCTCCAGTAGACGCCATGAGGGAGGCTTACTCAGACTAGAACATCGGGTTTATGTCATTAACCGCATATCTTTAAAACATTCTTTTAAAAAAGATTTCAAATAAGATAAGGAATGTTTTATTTTCCTTGCACAACGCATTAAGTGAAGCGCCAATCTGTGCTTGTCTTGAGTGCTGTGAACGCCACACCCAGAGAAGAAGATACAGATGCTGCGCTTGCCGCATCACCTCGCCATTGTGATAGCGCCAGCACGTGAGTAGGTCTGAGGTGTTGAGGTGTGCAGGTATTGCACGGGTTACACGCGTGCACCTACATGACATGCACGTTCTACAGAACAGATGCATTCCTTCTTACCGTTACTAGGGAAACGAACTGAAAGAAAGAGCAACTAGGAACATTTGGTTTCGCATTCTGTTCATTAAGCTGTAGGTCTGTTTTCTCGCCCCAGGGTGTCTGCAATGCGACAGTGATGTTGATGACGAACTGATGAGCTGAGGTTTTACAAGGACGAATCTCAGGAACCGAACAATTTCGGAGCATGTAAATAAATACTTCATTCTTCTGTGTATCTTCATCAGTCACATACCGACTCTTTCAAAGTATGATATAACACATTCTGAAATGCTTTGCGCACAGATCAAAGGAACCCGCAGTATTCTGAGATAAGTAAACTTTACGTCACGTCATAATTGTCTGACGTCATGACGCTGTTCAAATTACCTCCTTCCTTATCTGACGTATCCTTGGAAAGATTGTTCTAGCTGTTAAAAATCAATCTGTGTCAAGTAAAGGAATAATATTCCTTGGGAAGGGTGAGTAAGTGAGGTTTGTTTACGCCCCACTTAGCAATATTCCAGCAATATCACGGCGGGGGGACAAGAGAAAATGGGATTTACCATGTCGGGAATCGGACCCGGGTCTTCGGCGTCCCTGGGAAGAATATGGCAAGGAAGTTAGTCAAAAAGAACAACATTCGGGATATATAATGGTGACAAGTCCTACCTTGTAAACATTCCAACATATAATGTATTCTTAAGCGTCTCCGCAGACTGTACGTATTCCTAGCAGCCTGTGGGTAATGAGAGGATGCCGTTGATTCTACGGGGTTGTCACCAAACATACAGATATCGTTTCGTCTGTGGTTATCTCGTTACCGAGGCCTCCCAATTATCTATCATGGGCCTACAAAATGAGTAACCATTGAGTGAGTGAGTGAGTAAGTTGGGTTTTACGCCGCACTCTGCAATATTACAGCTATATGGCGGCGGTCTGTAAATAGTCGATCTACGCAATTGGGATACGATGACATGTGTCAACCAAGTCAGCGTGCCTGAACACCCGATCACCTTAGTCGCCTCTTACGACAAGCAAGGGTTACTGAAGATCAATATTCTAACCCGGACCTTCACGGGTAGAGTGACCATTGAAAAGTTGTTGTAATATATTTTATTACAGTTTTATATGAAATGGAACTTAGGGGAAATTCATCAGTCCTAGACAAAACATTAAGACAGCATATGCTGTTGTACTATTTGGAGGGGCGGTGGGGTAGTCTAGTGGTTAAAGCGTTCGCTCCTCACACCGAAGTCCCGGGTTCAATTCCCACATGGGTACAATATGTGAAGCCTATTTCTGGTGCTTCCTGCCGTGATGTTGCTGGAATATTGCCAAAAGTGGCGTAAAATTAAACTCACTTACTCATAACTGGGTGAAAATAAGCATCCTACCGGGTACTCACTTACTGTAATAATTGGAAAGATATTATGCCAGCGCTTAACGTCGATCTCCCAGTCAGACATTCACTCCGAACCGCCCTGCCCTTACTTATCTTCTTGATGCCGAGCACCAGGCATGGCAAGAACAAGTACCATATCTTAACAGTTAAAAAACGTATATTCTTTTAACTAATTACATTGCTGTCTGAAAATGAAATGACAGGAAGCTGGTGCCTGGCGCCCATACAAAACGCTTGCTGTTTACGTCCGGTTCGTTGGCACGTGTGCACAACGCCGTTGTAATTACAAGGGGTATTTACTTTACTCTGTTGAAAAACAAATTAGTCAAACTAAACTGGCATGAGAAAAACGAGAAAGGTATAAATATTCTGAACTGAAATTCTATTAAGGTAATGTCGTGTCTAATTTAAGAAATTAATTTTTTACTTTTTAACCTTATGTGTATAAATTGCGATTTTTCTTTATAACGAAAAAAACGTAACGCTTAGATAAATCAGCATAAACAAGTGAAGTGATTAATATTTCATGATTGACATGAATCATACAACGGTGTATATAAAGCTGTTATATATTTTCTGGCTTATTCACTTTTTTCGAATTTTAAGCGTGATTCATTGTTGAAATTCCTTATCCCAGGCTTCTTAATGTTCGGCTTTGAGCGTGTTTTGTGGCGTGGATTTGAGGCAATGTAAATATGCACATTGTTATTTGAAGTCAATGTTCTTTCGTTCCCCCATATTTCAACTTTGAAAGCCAGGAAATTTATATCATTTGTTCCTGGAGAATGAAGTTTTCTGTCCGACCCAAAAGGTTGTTGTTATCAGGAGGATAGTTTTGTGCTGACACAGCGGATTCCATTATGTACCTGGACCCACCCGATATGCGTTAAAAGTTATGCTGTACAAATGCATTTCAGGAAATCGTGGTATTCTGCCAGAAAGTCTGAAAGAAGGTATTTTTACACACCTATTCCGTGTTCCGATGCCCTAAGAATCGAGCCATCAGCAAAAAGCAAGAAATACTTTTCGCGATCCCCAAGATTATCTGCTGACAGCGGCGTCTACTATGCGATCCGATCTATGTGATGAGTTTATTTGTGTCTATATATCCTTAAATAGTGAAGAGACCAGTTGATGAGCAGATCATGCCGCACCGGTTGCATAAGTCACAAACACACGCAAAGGCACGTCAAGTGTTCCTTAAAAGAACAACACAGGCACCTGGTTATCTCGAAATAGCTCGTGTTCCGAACGACATGTACAACACCCTGTTAATGTCGACTCAGTGTTGATTGATGTTACCTACAGGCTCGATGGAGGAGAGGTAAAATGGCGTTTACGTTCGCCTTCAAGATTATTGAACTGACAAATATATATTTCGAACTGTTCTGTCGAGACGCGTTGAACGAACTACGAATTTTCCGAACTAAACTTTGTGTCCCATCGAGTTCGTTATAACCGTAGACTACTGTGTATTTGTTTAATACACATTATTTCCTGAGAAAGCTACGCTCATTCCACATTGATTCCACTATTATGTCTCTGTTTTACAAATCATGTATTCAATCCATTTTAACATTATCTATGCAGTGTTGGTATGGGCTTCTGTCGCTTCAAAATAAGAACGAATTAAACAGGATTGTTAAAGTTGCAGGAAAAATTGCTTGTTGTAATTTTGATAGTTTAAACACCCTGTCCATGTCATCAGTTTTAAATCTTTCTGTCAGAATTTTACAAGACCCAACAAATGTTTTAAACACTTGTTATACACTTTTACCATCTGGCCGTAGGTATCTTTTACCAAATGTAAAGTCAAAGAGAAGTAAACACTATCTTATACCAGTTAGCATATCCTTTTTAAACAAGTCTTAAACATTATTCTCTTAGTATATTTATTGTTAGACGTTTCTCTCCTAAATACTGTTATTTCACTATGCATTCAATGTCATTGTTGCTGCTCATATCTTAAATGTTGTTTTCTAATGTTCTTAACTCTGATGTACACAAAATTCCCTTATCTGATCTTAACTTAATACGAATACTGAAACGTGTACTTCTGGTAACATGCGATACAAGGGGCGATGGGCGTTGGAGATCTTGCTGTATGAGTCAGTGCCAAATTCCCTTCCTGGTTCCGGAGTCTGATGAAGAGAACTAAGGGCAGATATATTTGGAAACGTAGTCTGTATAAATGTCATGACACCCTTCTTTTACACACTGGACGCTGCCTAGTTGCTGAGAGAGAACAGACCACAACTCGGCTTCCCTGTTTGGGAGACTCAATTCTTTCCTGTTTTGGGGTATGGTAAACGTCGTCAGAGTGTCACACCTGCATAACGTCGGGTTGCAATGCTGTTGTCCAAGCGTGGTAATTCGCTGTACAGAGTTGCCTCCCTTCGACACGCCAGAATCCTATGATAGTTGGTTCGCATTCAATACCTCTGCTTGAGGGTTTTCACAAAGTTCATATTCCTGCATTACTTCGGGTTTTCTTCCCACGTTAAGCCCACCCACCGTGATATAACCAGGATACCGTTCAGAGCGGCGATAAGTCACTTAATCAACTCATCAAGGTAACGGGCAGAGATTGAACTGAAATACTGTTAAAACTGGCAATAACCCCAACCCATCCCAACTCAGCTCACTCTTAATCGTCCTGGGATGCTATGATGGCTAGGTGTGTTGCATTTACATACTGTGAAACACCAGTAATGGGGTAGCCTAGTGGTTAAAGTGTTCGCTCCTAACGCCGAAAACCCAGGTTCGATTCTCCTGATGTGTGAAGCCCATTTCTGTTGTCCCCCCGCCGTGATATTGCTGTAATATTGCTGAACGCGGCGTTAAATCATAATCACTCACTCGAACAACACATCGCTGCACTTCGGTTAATCCAGCTACGATCTCAAAGTTGATGCAATGTTCAAAATAATTCGTTTAATAGTCATGATTTTTGCCTCTATAGAAATCGAATCGGATGTGTCGAATTGACGTTTGTCTCAGTGTTTTCTTCATTAACGTTATCACAAAAAGCTGCCCTTTACTGATCCCTCAAACTTGGAATCGTGTATCACTGCAGACACTCCGAGAGTCAGACACTCCCCCATGCAACAGCACCGTTGCAATAACACCTACAACCCGCAGCGCCGCCGACGCAAACACTAGTGCGATGCTAGAAGGGTCTCATCATTTCTCGTGACACTTATTCTTCCTTTACCGTGTTGATATAGATGTTATCACATCAGTATGACGTCACTGGTCTGACGTCACTTCGGGAAATGACACCCGACTTGGACACATGGAAAGTTGGTCCGATGAAGAGGAGCCCGGCGTCTGGGTAACCGTGATGATGACTGTAAATATAATTACAATTATAGTAATAACAACAACATCTACGACGACGATGATTGATGATGATGGTGCAGAAAATACCCCGAAGGTGTATTTATTTATTTATCTGTCTATTTTAACCTGTTAATTGCAACAACCCGTGAAGATCCGGGTTAGAAATGACCTTCAGTAACCAATGCTTGTCGTAAGAGGCAACAATATTAATCAGGTGGTCAGGCTCGCTGACTTGGATGACACACGTCATCGTATCCCAATTGCGTAGATCGATACGCATGCTGTTGATCACTGGATCGTCTGGTCCAGAGTCGATTACTAACAGACCGGCGCCATATAGCTGTGATATTGCTAAGTCCGGTGTTAAAAAACAAATAAACAAAGAAACAAAACACCACCAACAATAGCAACATACAGGATACAGGTACATAGCCTTAAGACTACACAGGGTCTAGATGCTCACAACGCATGACATATCATCACAAACACAGACAAGCCTCCTTGAAGCTTAATATCAAACTGCTGTCCCAGAATTAATGTTGCTGAAAGTACGCAACTGCGAAAGTTAATTTCATCCTCCGCTGCTGGGTGGTCGCACTTCAGATAAATTTTATCTGTTATTTATACCACTTCCGAATTCTGTTTCTATATAGATTCCGAGTTTCAGGGTTATAGGGTTTGATGGCCGGCGCCACCTCTTCTTGCAATGAGTTAATGGAACCACCACATGTTGTCTTTCTGCGATATGTTTGCAGTGTGCACTTCAAAAAATGACACTGGAACATATTTGTCCAAAGCACCTTGGAACCATTTACACCGAAAACATATCCATGGAATTTTTGCATATTGGTCACAGCACACTCGTTAACACAAAAGTTCGGTTCCAATGTAACTCACTGTGGTTGCTCAGCTGCCAGGATATAGGACTAACAAACCGGATAAAACCGGTACCCGACACTACCAAACTGAGCTGAAAAATTATCATTATTTTGGCTCGTATACCCCAGACATGTTAAGGTTGGACAATATTCCGTCTACATGACAGCGGCCCGAGTCCAGGACAGACAATCCGGTGATTGATAATATGGCCATCGATCAATGCAACTGGTTGGTTGGTTGGTTTGTTGGTTCACGCCTCACTCACACAGGGATTGGTCGTGAAATAATCAGAATCTCTAACCAAATGAGATTACGTTTTTGACGCTATTGGGCATTCTGGTGACAAAATACATCGATGTATTTTATAATGCATTACATACATGACATGTCTGTGTAAACCAAAATCCATTGTATGATTCAGATACGAAAACAGATCATAGAAGAGTGATTCGGTGAGTGAGTTTTATTTTACGCCGCTCTAACCAATATTCCAGCTATATGGCGGCGGTCAGTAAATAATCGAGTCTGACAAGACACTTCAGCGATTAACAGCATGAGCTTCGATCTATGCAATTTGGATACGATGACATGTGTCCACCAAGACAGCGAGCCTGACCACCCGATCCCGTTAGTCGCCTCTTCCGACAAGCATGGGTTACTGAAGACCAATTCTAATCTAGATCTGTACGGGTCCAATAATGCATTGCAAACTGGGAAACGATGACATGTGTCAACCAATTTAACGTGCATGACCACCTGATCCCATTGAAGACCTAACATGACCCGGATGTTCTCGGTAGAGTATACATTGTCCTGGACGGTTCCCAGTATCGAGAGACATGGGTTCAATATTCTTCCATATCATTTCTTTTCGCATGGACATATGTCTCTCCCCCCAAGTGATGGATACCGAAAACGTATAACTCTCCTCGTTGTTTCATCACACCAACTTCTAAATGCCACTCAAAGAAGTTATGCTGCAGTTCAGCTTATCGAGGTTGATATTTGAGATCATCTTGTGACCGGAAGTTATTGCGGATCCTGCTGAGACAGATGTTAGTGAGGCATCCATCATGTTTGACGTCATTACTAATGGTGTCCGTGCTATTAATGTGCCTTCGTTTTGTTTTGTTTGTTCCTCTCAGCAATATTCCAGCAACATGAGGCCGTTCTTGTCTGGCAATCGGTGAACACCCTGGTCTTGAGCAGTCCATGCTTGTAATTGACAACTGTCGGACTTACTGACTTGGTTGATGCAGATCATCGCACCACGATTGCGTAGATCAACGCTCATAATATCAATCATTGGTTTGTCTAGTCCAGACTCGAGAACCTCGTTAGATGAAAGCGACGGCATACTCAACTCTCCATATACTAGTACATGTAACCGGCCTTTTAAAATAGTTAGAAATTTTTAATAATTATCATGTACTTACATTGTACATTTGTCTGAAAGCCTCGTTCTCGCACGCCCATGCGTTTCCTGTAGGGTAAAGGTAAAGGAAAACTGTTATTAACAGCGACATCTGACAAAATGGTGAAAGAAGGACACAAGAGTAGTGTCCCATTGATGTAATAACTTGCCCAAACCCAATCTCGTCAAATTTGAGTGGTGCTCATAGGCGTACATGAGTATTTGACACACCTTACGACTGATTAACTTTCACAGCCTCACGTCAAAACAGCCATGGGATCAAGAGCGTTCTCTGCTGCAGCCCCCTATCTCTGGAACATTCTACCACTCACCCTAAAAGAAATAGAATCTGCTGATGCTTTCAAAACTGCCCTCAAAACTCATCTGTTCAAACTCTCTTTTCCATAGACATTGTCTACAATCTTTTCTCTTCATAGCGCCATTGAGCAATATCTTTTGGAAATAGGCGCTCTATAAATCAATTATTATTTATGTCAATTATGAAATGATGATGATGATTTGGAGATTTTACGTGCGCTTTCCTACATGATGCGTATTTCGCACACGAACTTTGGAAATGATAAGCAACTTATTGATATGAGATGTTGACTTACCTATTTTGGATCGTGCACGGCGTAACTGTATTGATGAGTGGCTTGGGAAATTAAACTGAAACGAGGATTGATTGTGTTGATAAAAATACCTGTTACTAGAACAAAACATCCTTTAAAATCAATTACACGATTGCTGTTGCAGGAATGTGGAAGAAATTGAAAGAAGCGTCCATAAAATAACAGGACACGGCTCACATGAAAACGCTGACACGCTGCACAATATTGAAAAGTAATAACGACTTTCCCCATCCATGTTGGTGGATACAAATACTACCCATCAAAAGTTTACACTCACTTTTGTAAACGTAGCCACGTACCTCAGTCAACTGTTCTAAACTAGATTTTGCAAAATATTCCATACTGTTTAAAGGTACTGTCATGAGTTTAATAAATGATGAAAATCAGTCAAAATTGGCGAATTCTTGACAATGCACAATATTGCACATGCTTTGATGCATGATTCTTTTGCAATTCATCTGCATCAGGTTTGGAATTGGTTCCCCCAACTTCATCTTCGATGTAACCATCTATACATACATAACATATAGTGAGTGCTTTAAGTGAGTCTAAACTTTTGATGGGTATTATAGAATTAGTTCAGGGGCACTCACACAATTTACCATTAGAGCCATAAATATCAAAAGAAATGTAAAAACCCCAACCAAATACAGTACATGGCCCTGTTGAAAATTCTGAAAAATATACAAACAAACCCGCTTTCCTCAAATGTAATTTTATCTTATCCCTTTTATATAATATATAAACAGACATCAGCACAAAAATCATCAAATGCACTGTTTACATTTGCATAATATTAACTAAGTTCTTACACCAACTGAGGGCTGGGGTGATCGAAGGTATTATTCGCCGATACTGCTGCAGGATCTCTGAGCCGCTTTATACTAACAGACGTTAAATGATGGTACTTGTTATTACTCTGCCTGGAGCTAGGCATAGAGGGGAAAAACAAGACCTGGTCAGCTCGGAGTATACTGAGACTGGGCGCGGTATCCAAGTGTTCTAGCACGTCCAGCATGCATAGAGATTGTCACACACGCACACACTTACTCACACACCCATACATACACATGTACACGCACACGCACACATCGCTTTGTCAGTGCAATAATCTTGAAAACCACACTATTTCTAAGCAGCCTGTATTGCTAGATATTCGCCATAGTGTCAGCACAATCCAGGTACGAAAGTACTGAGCGCCCACGATCAACCATGGAGCTAACAAGTCGTGATATAACTGAAATAGCTGCATTCTTTTCCTTGTTCGCTAATTGTTTCAGCAGCCGAACTACGGGCATCAAGCATGACTAACTAATGAGGGGTGCAACGTACAAGAGGGAACAGTCGTCTCGTTTATCAAGTAGGATTCTTTGCTTTGTGTTAGTTACATTGTGTGTATCTACCTTCAGTCATGTCAGTGTCATTGTGTGTGTGTGTGTGTGTGTCTTATCTTCAGTCGTGAAACATTGTGTGTGTGTGTCTACTCTTCAGTCGTGTGTCTGCTCTTCAAACAGTGTGTGTGTGTGTGTCTACTCTTCAGTCGTGAAACATTGTGTGTGTGCGTGTGTCTTATCTTCAGTCGTGAAACATTGTGAGTGTGTGTGTCTACTCTTCAGTCGTGAAACATTGTGTGTGTCTACTCTTAAGTCGTGAAACATTGTGTGAGTGTGTGTCTACTCTTCAGTCGTGAAACATTGTGAGTGTGTGTCTACTCCTCAGACATGAAACATTGTGTGTGTGTCTACTCTCTGTCTTGAAAAATTGTGTGAGTATTTTACTCTTCAGACGTGAGACATTATGTGTGTGTCTACTCTTCAGACGTGAAACATTGTGTGTGTGTCTACTCTTCAGATGTAAGACATTGTGTGTGTGTGTCTACTCTTCAGACATGAGACATCGTGCGTGTGTGTCTACTCTTCAGATGTGAGACATTGTGTGTGTGTCTACTCTTCTGTCTTGAAAAATTGTGTGTGTATTTTACTCTTCAGTCGTGAGACATTGTGTGTGTGTCTACTCATCAGACGTGAAACATTGTGTGTGTGTGTCTACTTTTCAGTCGTGAGACATTGTGTGTGTGTCTACTCTTCAGACGTGAGACATTGTGTGTGTGTCTACTCTTCAGACGTGAAACATTGTGTGTGTGTCTACTCTTCAGACGTGAGACATTGTGTGTGTGTGTGTACTCTTCAGTCGTGAAACATTGTGTGTGTGTGTATCTACTCTTCAGTCGTGAAACTGTGTGTGTGTATTTGTGTATGTTTACTCTTCAGTCAGGAGACATTGTGTGTGTATGAGTATTCTACGTTTCAGTCGTGAGACATGTGTGTGTCTACTCTTCAGTCGTGACACATTGTGTGTGTGTCTACTCTTCAGACATGGGACATTGTGTGTGTGTCTACTCTTCAGACATGGGACATTGTGTGTGTGTGTCTACTCTTCAGTCGTGAGACATTGTGTATCTGTTCTACTCTTCAGTCATGAGACACTGTGTGTGTCTACTCTTCAGTCGTGTCAGTGTTCTCTGTCACGTGCAGCAGGTAAATTCTATATAGGTTAACACGTCCAAAGGTAATCCATAAAACCCCCAACATTTCTTCAAATAGCATACATACATTGTTATATGCGTGAAGACCATAAAGGAAGATCAACTCTTCCATCATCTGCGCCTTGTCCCTCCGGGAATGGATACAGTCATCGCTCGAGACACGTGACATCACTTCCTGTCGTCTCTTGAGGTTGTCTCCGCACAGCTCATAACCAGCAATGCTGAGAGCCGACCTAATCCGGATGTCCGAGCGGGTGGACAGACTTGACTGACTTCGCCGGAAGCCGACGGAGACGGCCTGAATGTACGCCGGATTTGCTGTGCCTGAAAGATACAGTTCACGCATTCGATTGTTTGTTGCTGTCTGACGCCGCATTCATTAATATCTTTGTGACGCTTATCTGCAAATAAGCGGGCGATGGGGTAGCCTAGTGGTTAAAGAGTTGGCTCGTCGCGCCGATGACTCTGGTTCGATCACTGACATGGCAATAAAGTGTGAAACCCATTTTGGCCGTGATATTGCTCAGCCTGGAATATTTCCAAAAGCGGCGTAAAACCATACTCAGTCACTCACTCTTTAAATAATCGATTCTAGTCTTGATAACTGTGTATTTGACAACAAGCCTTGGATTTACCCGACAGCTTTACAATGTTAACGAAGTCAGGGAATCTGATCAGTACCAGACAGTCGCTTTTTACGACAAGCACGGGTTGGTAAAGACAAATTATGGCCTGGTCTTCGTGAAGATTTTCACAATTGGAGTAACCTGAATCAACCGAATTTACCAAATTTCTGGCACTAGGAAGTGACTGGATTATAACCCGTGTAAACCAACGCGTTTTTGGCATAGTACTGTTTTGAACAGTATCTCAGATATGTAAGAACTTGTCATTGAGGATCGATAAAATGGCCTGATATTGACTGGAAGCTTTAGTTTATCAGGTCTTTGGCGTTTACCCTTTTAGTGAAACCCTGAACTGGTGCAAGGCACGGTAAACCAACGATCAGCATATCCTGACACGATAAAGGGGCGCAACTCCTACAGCAAAATGCGAGGCTTTGCGTGCAGATCAATGAAAACCCGTGCGCGCTGTGAATGACTACATTAACGACCAAGATATTGGCTGATTTCATCTCGACTACGTGTTTGTTATCTGCTACGTGGATGTCGCGTGTCTTGATCACTAGATTACCGACATTGTTACAGTCCGGTATTGATCTTCACCGGATAATGATAATCCCTTGGCTGCACGAATCTTGGCAGGGATTACACGTATTGGTTGAAGGATCTGTCAAACTGACTAATTGTTATCGCAATGTCTTCACGACCATACTTTATTAACCATGCTTACCACAAGCCACGACTAACATAAATAGCGAGTGAGTGAGTTTAGATTTACGTCGCTTTTTGCTATATTCGAGCAATACCACGGCGGGGGACACAAGAAATCTTCACACGTTGTACCCATGTGGGGAATCGAACCAGGATCTTTGGCATGACGAGCGAACGCTTTAACCACTAGGCTATAGCGCCGCCCCTAACATAAATTGTGAACGTAAAGATACAAAGCATTTGCAATACCTGTTATTTTGTTGTTTGTTTGTTTTTAACGGCGGACTCGCCAATTTTCCAGCTGTATAGCGACGAAACTTCTTTGAGAGGCATTTTTAGAAGTTGTATAGATGAAGGAAAACCAAGTTCTATGGATAGTCAACTTTATTGCAATGAGTGCGCCCATTGCAATAAAGAAGTTGACTATCCATAGAACTTGGTTTTCCTCTTTTATATAACGATGGTTCTGAGCCAAGTCTGGGCCAAGCAATTCAGTGATCAGCAGGATACGCATCGATCTACGCAATTGGGATACGATGACCAACCAAATCAGCGATCCATGCCACCAGATCCCGTTAGCCGCCTCTTACAACAAGCATGGGTTACTGAATATCAATTCTAACCCGTATCTTCACGGGTCTCTGTTTTATTAAGGCATGAGGATAATTATTCATTTAAAGAAAACACATCTTGCAAGATTGTATTTATGTGTAATGCAGTGTCTCTTTATCAACTGTCTGAAGCACAAGCATTTTTACCAAACATTTTCTCTGACAATTTTTTTTTTTTCGATAAGATTCTGGAACGCCCTACCAGCACCACCCTCTCCCACAACGCCACACCGACCTCCTTGTCACCACCCACCCCTTCTCCTCAATCCTTGAATTCCGTCGGCCCATAATTAAAATGTCTATTGTTGAAGACATTTTTTCAACCTTTCCCAAAGAGTGAGTGGGCGAGTTTGGTTTTACGCCGCTTTTAGCAATATTCCAGCAATATCACGGCGGGGTACACCATAAATGGCTTCACACATTGTACCCATGTGGGGAATCGAACCCTGGGTCGAGCGAACGCTTTAACCACTAAGCTACCCGACCACATTGATTGATAGTGTTATTTAACAAGTTAATCCCATTGCTTACACAGGACTTGAAAAACGAGGACACGATAATGGAGGCATGTTTGAATTTGTCTTGACTTGAATTAACTGTAAATATTAATGGACATGTCATACTCGTCTTCCAAGTGTTCACAGGTCGTAGACGATGGTGTCCGAAATCACCAGCTGAGTTTGCTCGGACGTGTAAACAAGTCATAATACTCAAACACAAAGTACATATGTTGACATAGGCCTAGAAGGATGTCTGTCGCCTATATATTAGCGTGAGAAATAGGGGTGTTGATTTCGTCTGCGAATGTTTACTCATAGAACATAACACTGATATCAGATGGGGCAAACTATACTACTCTTGATATTAAAGACCACCCGATATTTCAACATGACTATATATAAAGATCTAATATCATGTCTTTAACGTGTTTCGAGTAGCATACACATATACTGCTCAATCCCGACAGTAGTACGAAACCCCACCCTCAAGCTGACGACTTGTAGGTGGGGTAGGGGTTGAGGTGAAGGAGTGAGGAACGTCTCGTCAGAATACAAATAAACGATAAAGTAAACTTCGCTTGTAACGAACTAATAGACTACTTATTACAGTTCGATATAAACGTTGTTCGTTATACGTATTTCGACATATATATGCATTTTCGTTATATCCGTCAGTTCGTTTTAAGCGTGTTCTTTGTAATCGTAGTTTATTGTATTTATGAAAAGACACATTTTGGCTTTGTGCATACAGTGCAAATCTGCTTGTGAATGAGTGAGTGAGTTTAGTTTTACGCCGCACTCAGCAATATTCCAGCTATATTGCGGCTGTCTGTAAATAATCAAGTCTGGACCAGACAATCCATTAATCAGCAGCATGAGCATCGATCTACGCAATTTGGATACGATGACATGTGTCAACTAATTCACCGCGACCAATCCCGTTACTCGCCTTTTACGACAAGCATGGGTTGTGAAGACAAATTCTAACCCGGATCTTCACGGGTGTGAATACATGATATCACATGCTTTTAGGGAAAGACACTTCTAGGGAGATACCTTTGTCTCAAGTCTCAAGATAATCAAGTCTGGACCAGACAATCCAGTGATCAGCAGCATGAGCATCGATCTACGCAATTTGGATACGATGACATGTGTCAACCAAGTCAGCGAGCCTGACCACCCAATCCCGTTAGTCGCCTCTTACGACAAACATGTGTTAGAAGATCAATTCTAACCAGGATCTTCAAGTCCGCTTTAAGCTAAGAGTGCACATCGGTATTTACTTAAAATACACATTCAAAAGGGTTACATGTAGGATGTCTGACTTCACTGAATATGTTTCATCGTACCCAATACATTGACACTCTAAGCTGAAAAGTCTTCACATAAGCAAAGATTATTACAATTACTTATTCAATAATCTCTTCAATTGTTGATTCTGACGATTTAATAGGAACACTCATCTCGGTATTATCAAACCTGTTATCGATAGTTTGCAGCGATTCTTTTATGAGTGAGTGAATAAGTCTGGTTTTGCGCCGTTTTTAGCAATATTCCAGCAATATCACGGCGGGGACACCTGAAATGGGCTTCACACATTGTAGCCATGTGGGGAATCGAACCCGGATCTTCAGCTTGACGAGTGAACGCTTTAACCACTAGGCTACCCCACATTGTCCTCTTTGATTCAAAAGAGAGAGAAATTTTACAAAATGTGATATCAATAATGCTATAAGTATTTGTAAGATTTGTTGATCAAGCGACTACATTTTACTGTTAAATGTTGCTTTGAGGTATTTTTAAAATGGAAAAGAAACCAAACAGGTAATTCTGCAACATAAAGTATATTATCTTTTGTACTGTGGGTCATTTGACATTTTTTCCAACAGACACCATGTATATATATGTTGTATTCTGTCATGACCTAGTGAACTTGTATTATTGAATTCGCAGCACATATTTCTTAGGACCCACCAGAACGAATTTTACAAACTCTTGTCGAATACCACTTCGAAGGCAAGGCATACATAGACACAGGCAATCTTCTGCATTGAAATATAATTACGTCTGGTTAAAAACACGTTACCTTGTTTACCTTGACCTTTGTGCCCCCTCCAAGATAATGCCAACTTGTAAATAATGTAGTATGTTTTTTAGAAGCGTTGTTGAAGCTGTGTGGTTTGAAAGTCTGTCTTATGAACTCATACCTACAGCAGTGATCAGGTAATTGCATACCTGGTACGACACCTGAATTTTGCAATCAGCGCACCTGAGGGCAGGTGGGGCAACAGATCAGGTGATAACATTGCGTCTATTTCAAAACATGGTCGAGATGAGAAACGTGCACGGAATATTATTTCATCGCAAGGCTGAATCGAGATATCTGATAAGTTTGGAACGGTACGCCGAGCCAGGGAAATAATAGTCCCGACTCCAAGAGAGTTGGCGACTCATTAAACATGAATTATAAGTTCAATGGTGGGTTCGGTTCTTTCGTTGTTAATGTACGCACTAATCTGGTGATCTAAGCGTGTATTCAGACGATGAGAAATATATGGTTACATGTATGTTGGACTCGAACCTGGACCTCGATCAATACGTATCTTATGAAGAAGCGGCGTGGTGTTGAGTGGAGTGAAGCGGGAGGAGAGGGAGAGGAGGTGAGGAGCGGGGGAGCGGTGGGGAGGGAGGTGTGAGCGGGAGAGGATTGGTTTGGAGCGGGCGGGGAGGAGGGTGTGGAGTGGAGTGGAGTGGAGTGGAGAGGAGGAGGAGGAGGAGTGGTGTGGAGCGGAGGGGAGGGAGCGGAGAGGAGGGAGGAGGAGAGGGTGGAGGAGCGGAGAGGAGGGAGATATGAGGAGAGGAGAGGAGGGGAGAGAGGAGGAGTAGAGAGGAGAGGAGTTGTGGAGCGGAGTGGAGATGTGTAGTGGAATGGAGTGGAGCGGAGCGGTGGAGATATGGTGTGGAATGGAGCAGAGTAGAGCGGAGGAGATGTGAGCAGTGGAGATGTATAGTGGAATGGAGCGGAGCGTGGAGTGGATGGGTGGAGGAGATTTGTATTGGAATGAAGAGCGGAGGTGGAGCGGAGCGGGTGGGGTGGAGGAGTGGAGCGAGTCGAGGAGCGGCCAAATTTGTGGTTGGTTAAGTTGATTTGGACTATAATTTGTTTGTTTAACACCGCAATCAGCAATATTCCAGCTTTATGACGTCTGTAAATATTCGATAAGAGAATGCAATGATTAACATCACTACGGTGGACGAGCCTCACTAACCAATCCCACTAGACGCCTTTTACGACAAACATTGATTTGCCGAAGACTATTTCTAACCCGGATCTTTAAGGGTCGAGCAGTGATTCAGCGATAGTGAGTGGCTATAGGGGGTAGAATGTGTGTGTGTGTGTGTGTGTGCATATACACCAGCGAATTAACACACAGTATTATCCTAATATGCTTAATGTATGCCTTCGGGCAGAGCTACTACCAGGCAATACGTATTGATCTCACGATCTGTGATACTTGACGTCAGAGACTTCAAACGGACGCAGTTCATCACGGCGAATTACATCGCCTAAGATACCCTCCCCACTCCAAGACCCTCCATCCTTGTACCCGTGAAGAACCGGGCTACAATTGGTCTTCAGTAACCCATGCTTGTAAAAGGCGACTAATGGTGGTCAGGCTCGCTGACTTGGTTGACACATGTCATCGTATCCCAATTGCGCAGATGGATGCTCATGCTGTTGATATGTGCAGTGTCTGGTCCAGACACGATTATGAACAGACCGCCGCCATATAGCTGGAATGCGGCGCTAAACAACCAACCAATCAACATTATCACACACCAGTAAGTGGGGAATATTAACGGTGAGCTGAGTATTTGTTGATACATAAGAATAAATCTGATCAGATCTGTCAGCAACCAAGTCGAACTTTTTAAAATTGCCTATTTGCGTAAAACCTTTTCCCAGTCAGCTGTTCACCTGTATCTATTTTTGCCAGGAATGGACAAAACCGTACTCACAAACCCACTCGCTCACTAACACACCCCCACCTCAGAACTCATACATCCATCAACCCGCTGACTTACCCCTCCTCCCACCAACTTACTCCCCACCCACCCTATCACCCACCCTATCACCCATATTCTTGCCCACTCAGATGATTGCTTTGCTGAGCGCGGTCCAGGTTCGAGTCCATACGTCATCACAAATCTACAAGTGCTAAGCGTATCTGTCACCGGATTAATGCGAACGCTTAACAATAAATGAAAATATGAATCGAATCCAGTAAATACTGAATATAGCCCGGGAACCACCAGCTCAAGTATAGTTAATGTTATTACTCCTCCTGTTTTGTGGTCTGAGGATTTGCGTGGTGCTTATCTGTATAATCCGTGTAAACTGCCACGGGTCCGTATGACTCGCTGAAAGACCCAAGAGACTAAGTACGAGCCAGGTACATTCACCCTTACAAGAATCAGTTATAATCACCTACATGATATTCACACGGCAAATTCAGAAAAAATCGACTAAGATTTTGTTGAAGTAATTTTGCTTTCTTTTCCTACTTATCAAGAAACAACTTTAGTAACGTCAAGTATTGGTGGTGTTTGAAAACGTAATCTGATTTGTTTCTTTGCAGTGGGGGTCAAAGGTTTTTTCAAGATTTCCAATTGACAAAGAGAGAAATATGTACAACATCAATATATTCCGCACGGTGCAATTATATTACAACATGTACGATTGCTTCTTCTGTACTTTTAAAAAACAATTTTAGGCAGGTGCAAAGATCTTAAGGTTTGGAATACAATACTCAGTAATGAAAATGGTGTTTGTCTTCAATATATCGTTGGCTACTATAACACGATGAAATGCATACATTACATCTATTTCTTTTACTCTAACTATGCATTTTGAATACAAACGTTCTTTACCTACCATACTTTACTGCATGAAATGTAAGCATCTAATTATTTTACTTTAATTATGTATTTTCACTAATATAATGCTCTTAACATATACATTTTCACTGCGATGAAGTACCTGACCAACGTATACCTGAATGCACATATCTGTGTCAGTAACAAAATATACTCACTCGTCATGTTGTGTGCTTGTAACTACGTGTTGTCTATGTACATCCAATGTAGAGAGCATGTCTACCCGAAACTACCCGAGTCCGACACGGTACTATATGTCAGCAAGGCGATTCGGTCCCCGCCATTGTGCAGAGGGTCGCAGAGTGACTTCATGGCCCACCCGGCAATTACTGGCTGCGTTTGAGCGAGCCGACACAACAGCAATTTGAATACATATGCAAGGGTAAACATAGTACATGCAGTGATTTTTTATTATCTAACCCCGCTCGCCGCCAAACTCAGGATCAAAAGTATACGCTTAAATATTCGTTTTGACAAGAAATATATGCAAACGTTATCAAACTGTTATTAAACCGCAAATTTCCAGTCGCAAAAACACTGCAAATTAGAGGGCCAAACTTCGACTGTAATACCCCATTTAAGTACGTCACTATCGAATAACCATCTCTTGTTCGTTTTTATATTTAGCTATCATCAAACGTTGGCTTATACTGTCTTTCTCACGACAGTAAACATATTTTAAAGTTTCTATTAAAGACATCAGTTTTGTTGGATTTTTCAACCTCAATTGCCTTTACAAAAGGATAATGTGACAAGGCCGTTCATACGAATCCTGACGAGAAATCCCCGTGCAATCCAGGTCTCTGGTCGTGTTTTTAATCATTCTATTTCCAGATGGTTTAAATAATACTCTTTGAGTTCCAACAAGTTCCAACAGAGATTTGTCTCAAGGAGTTCCGACCCACTCGATCAACTGGAAACCGGCATCAGCAACAAAAGAAACTGATGATTTTTTTCCCTTTTAACAAAATATGCAATTAAATAATGATATTAAATACGTAATTAAACTTGAAAAATACCTTTATCAAAGTATCTTTTGAGGGCTTGGTTCTCTGTGACTGTTGTTTGAAACGTCCATATTGATACAAACAATTCACTGTTTGTCAGTTCGCCCAAACGCAACTGGATGTTCATACCAGAACAGCATTGTCCCTGCTCGGGCGCGGGGTATCACCTTGTCAGATCGGGATAATCCCGGGATTAGGCTTCCACCAGAGCATGGATAATGTTGATAAGGGAGGGGTCGCTACACTGCTACAATATCAAGTCGAGTGAGTGAGTGAGTGTGTTTGATGTGGGAGGAAAACCCGAAGTTATACAGGTCTTTGTATTGCGATTTGCTCCTATCATCGGTATGGTGCTTATATATAGTTAGAAAACGCGGATCTGGTTTTCAACCAGGTTGGTTTGACTTGTTGGTTGTTTAACACCGCATTCAGCAAATATTCCAGCTTAATGGCGGCGGTTTGTAAATAATCCAGACTGAACCAGACAATCCAGTGATCAACATTATGAGCATCAATCTACGCAAATAAGATACGACGACATGTGTCAACAAAGTCAGCGAACCTGGCTACCCGATCCCGTTACCCGCCTCATACGACAGGCACAGGTTGCTGAAGACCAGTTCTAACCCGGATCTTCACGGGTAGTTTATGGTATTCCAGCAATATCACGGTGGTGAACACCGTCTTAGCACATTGTACTCCTGTGGGAAATAGAACTCGGACATTCAACGCACGAACGCTTCACCCATGCGGCTACCAGAATGTTTCTATAACGAGACGTAGAATAAGTACGTGTTCAGACCAGTACGGAAAAAAAATGTATTCAAAAATGTTTATTTATGCGAAGTAATGTTTGCTGAGGTGATTTGAACAAGTCATGTCCTATATGTTTCATAGACAATATTGGAATGCAAGCAGGCTCAAGCAGGCTCAGCACTGTGTCATTGGTCAGTGCCGACGATGGTTTATGCCATCTTTAGAAATACCTCAGCTAACCATGTCAGGGGACACAAGAAATGGGTTCCCACATTGTCCCAATGTGAAGAATCAAACCCGGACCTTCGGCGTGACGAGCGAGCGCTTTAACCACTAGGCTATCATAAGCCCGAAAGGGAGAGCGAAAGGTCGCGGGTTCGATCCCCGACCGCGTCATACCAAAAGACGTTAAAATATGGTACTCGTTGGTCCCTGCCTGGCGCTCTGCATTAATGGGTACAACAAGGACTGGTCAGCTCGGAGTCAGTATAATGTGTCTGAGTGTGGTATTCATGCTTCACTGCGGCATGGTATCTCAGTGGGTTAGCACTATAAAACCAGCTTCAGTCTGGGCTAGTACAAGGACCCGCACATACACATACACACGCATGCACGTCGTCATATGAGCGAAATATTGTCAAGCACGACGTTAAAACCCAATTTCACTTCACCTCATAAGCCCGAAAGTGTACGAGGATTGTAATATACAACTACACATATCAGTGATCGATGATCTAGTATTGATCATTACATAATATAATATGTCATCGCTTATTTTTATAACAAGCGTCCAAACCCCCATTAAAAAATATATATATATATAAGATAAATACAAACGTAAATGAATGAATGGATGAGTGAGTGAGTGAGTGAGTGAGTGAACGAACGAACGAACGAACGAACGAACGAACGAACGAACGAACGAACGAACGAACGAACGAACGAACGAACGAACGAACGAACGAACGAACGAACGAACGAACGAACGAACGAACGAACGAACGAACGAACGAACGAACGAACGAACGAATGAACATATAAATTACAATTCCCTTTGTAACATCTGCCCTGTACAATTTTGTTTATCGGACCGTGAAGTATTTACTTGGTTGAGATTGTGAGATAAACGTTCCTGGGATGGCTTGTGAAGGCAGGGCATGTTAGGATCATTTACCGGATTAAGTCATGATAATCAATACCATTATTGTCACGCAAAGAAACAATAAATCAGCTGACAGGATCATCTCATCGACGATTCATTGGGCCTGTAAATTCAATTACTCGTCATTACAACATGTCCGCAATGTCCACTGACAGCTATTATGGAAGTGCATTAGGTCTGCCAGCGTGTTTGAGTAACACGTTTGATTACATATTGTCCATTATAATGGCTGGGAGTGGTGATATTCGAGACGCTTATTTACGTAACCATGACATTTAGTGCAGTTACTGGTAATTTATCGTGTGTGTGCTAAGCAAATACCACCTGACCCTATTATGTAAAACCATTTCCGTAGGTCGGTGCCCTTTCTTAGGACTCCGGGACTCAAGACCGATGAGAAAAACTTGCATTGGCTCAACGCTGTAACCTAAATCATTGTCCCTGTTCATTGTCCCTGCCGTATTCTGCCGTGTGTGCTAAGCCAGTACGCCAGTCACGTATGACGTGCCCCTTTTCTCTGGATTTTGGTAGAGTACAACAAATGAGATGATCATGAGTTGCGGAGGTGAAACGTTGTAAGCTAACGCTGAAACATTGACGACGCGACAACGTTGGTCCAACGTTGCCTCTGGGAAACGACGTTCACTCACAATACCTTTAAGACCTGCGAGCTGCCCTGTGAGTGAGCGAGTGAGTGAGGGAGGTAGTGTGAGTGAGTGAGTGTGTGAGTGAGTGTGTGAGTGAGGCAGTGAGTGAGTTAGTGAGTAAGTGAGGTTGTAGGGGTGACTATTGAGGGGAAACAACTATTACGATAGCGATAGTCTATTGCAACCAACTATTGCAATACTATTACAATAGTTGTTTTCTCCTTGAATTGTCTCATTTGAAGTCATTTCCCAATTAATGTATAGTTTATATGAAATAAAAACAAGTTGAAGTAGTTTCAGTCTCTTTTAATAACTGACAAGAAACTTGAAACCCAGATCAAGTAAACAGTTAAAATAAAGCTGCAAGTTTGCACCCAAACATCCTGCATTTTGCGCTGTACATTTATCAACCGAAGTCAATTACTAAACTATCGAAACTGACACATACTATCGATGCATCGATAGGTTTTCGTTTCTATCGGGGACTCAACAATTGCAATCCATCGATAGTTCGATGCATCGTTACAGCCCTATGAGGTAGTGAGGTAGTTAGTGATTGAGTGAGGTAGTGAGTAATTGAGTGAGGTAGTGTGAGGTGTTAGTGTGTGAGTGAGTATTGTACCGCAATGAAATATCAAGAGTGTGTTGGCAGTGTGTGGTTAGTGTGTCTGAGCTAAGAATACACGAACACAACCACAGAAAAATATACAGAGTAGGGTTTTAATCAAATGTCTCCTCCCTATTTCAAAACAGCCAGTCGTACACAAGCATATACAAGTAAACATATGTAGACTACCTGTATATTTTCACCTGGATGAGCACTGTTTGATCTCGGCAAACACGAACAATAGACAGGTGTACATTCCTTGTAGCTAGTACTACAGGAATATTGACCTACACATAATAATACACTTCTCACAACAGTGGATCTTTGTGGGTGTTAGGTGTTGTGGGGGTACAAACACAGGTGAACTCGACAATGTCAATTGATTGCTTCTGTCGCTAACTTGATCAAATACTTCCCAAACGGCCCCATGGAGAGACGGACGATTAACAACGAGCAATTCCGGAACTCTAGTTTGCCGGCAATCTGAGTCGACTTGTGATAGTTCTTGAAAATTGTTGTTGAGCACATAGCAAACAAAGCCGACAGGAGACCGGCCATAATAAAGATATCAAATTCACTTCAGGTTTGTCCTATTCAATATTTGTGATAATATTGTGCATATAATATTCCGGTAACTTCCCTCTGTGGTACTTGTCTCTGTCATTCATCAATATTCCAAACACACCCTTCAAACCATTCACCCGTGAAGATCCGGGTTAGAATATTGATCTTCAGTAGCCGACTAACGGGATCGGGTGGTCAGGTTCGGTTCTCAGCTCCCTGGGAAGTATACAACCCAAGTTGTGTGTGAGGCGCGAGTCACAGTGCCACGTCATCCTTCCGGGTACCCATACACTTCGACGTCAACAGGCGCATATGGGCGGTGGGGTAGCCTAGTGGTTAAAGCCTTCGCTCGTCACGACCGGTTCGATTTCCCACATGGGTACAATGTGTGAAGCCCATTTCTGGTGTCCCCCGCCCTGATATTGGTGCAATATTGTTAAAAGCGGCGTAAAGCTAAACTCACTCACTCACTAAATTGCCTGAGGTGACACCACTAAAAGTACATTTTGAATTACCTCTGTTTGTAGGAGCATAGAGGAAATCGTGGGTGGAG